ATTGCTGATATCATAAAATGTCTTCCATTAGAAAACGCTTATTGGCTTGACCGAAGTAATCAGCTGTTATTGAAAAAAAACAGTAGATACCATAACTAAAAATTTATGTACATTTTTTTAGTTTTCTTTACAGACAGGTGTATTTCCTACTGAATACAATTATGCATATGTCATGTCTTTGCTTAGTAAAGGCGATTGTTCTGTTTTTCAAAAATTACAGGCAAATTTCTCTTATTTATTGTGTTGGAAAGTTTTTTGAGAGAATTGTAATTAAACACTTGTGTAATTATTTCCATGTAAATCTTCTTCTGCATAAATACCTGGCAGAATTTCAAGCAGGTATCTCAACTATATATCCATTAATTGAAATTTATCATCATATTTGTAGATCATTAGAGAAATCATTGCATGGCATCCATCTAATTATAGACCAATCACTTTGTTAGAAGTTAGTGGGAAAATATTCTCGAAAATATTATTCAATAGACTTAAGAGCTGGGTGATCGAGGAGGATTTCATCACGCCAGAACAAGCCGATTTTCGGTAAAGATTCCAAACAAAATATAATGCCCTTGTGATTGATACTATTATTAAGAAGTATTTATCTCTTTATAAGGGAAGGTTGTATTGTGCCTTTGTGGATCACAATAGGCTGCATTTGATTCTGTCTTGACAACATCACTGTTTTAATAACTCTGGATTGGTAATGTTAAGGGTAGGGCTTTTAGACTTATTCGTAATATGTATGAAAATGTCAAGCCGTGTGTGTCACTTGAACTAGGTTGTACTCCATTCTTCAATTGTTTACTTGGTGTTCGCCAGGGTTGTCAATTGTCTCACTTCTTATTCTCCTTTGATAAAAACGATCTTCTTAAGTTTCTTAATGCAGACGGACAAAGGTGTATCGATATCGGTGTCTTGAACATGTTTATTCTGCTGTTTGCTGACGACATTATCTTGTTCAATAGAACTGTACTTGGACTTCAGAGGAGATTAGATAAATTGTCGTCTTATGGTGATAAATGGCAATTACAGATTAATTGGGACAAAACAGAAGTCATTGTATTTCGTAAAGGTGGTTGATTGAGAAGGTATTAACAGTTTAGTCTGCATGGCACTTCCATAGAGATTGTACCTACATATAAGTACTTGGGGTTCACCTATCTAGTTCAGGTTCATGGTATACCACTCAGAAAGTGTTGTCCTTACAGGCATGGAAGGTTGTTCTTATGTTAAAACAACGAATTCGCTATTTTCATAATGGCCTGATGCATATTTTTGACAATAAAATTCTACCTTTTTAACTTAATGGGTCTGAGATATACGGTTTCCATCACTCTCCTAACATAATGAATATTCAGATGATACTTCCTTAATGTTAGATGGTACTAAAAGGTGTTTGCAAACCGTTATGAACACATTAACCATTTTTTCACGTTTTTCCGGTTTATAAATATACATTGGTAAGACAAGGTTCCTAAAAACGTAGGCGAATGAAACTATTGAAGAACTGCAGAATGGATTGGATTGATTGAAACATATTAGTTGCCGGGTATCATATTTGACATCGAGCTAGAAAATATGGTAGACGCTTATTTACAACGAAAATTTTAAAGAAATTGAAAATTGAATGAAAATGAGGGAATGTATAATTTTAACGCCATTCGGCCCTGACACAGTGCTTAAATCCTGATTGTTACCAAACTTAATCATCTATTTGCTACCGTCCCTACACCATCCGAAACTGTTATGCAAAGTTTTCAAGCAAATTGCTTTCGATGTATTTGGAACGAAACCCCGATAAGATTAAAAGGGATAGGGTAATATGTAATATTCCGGACGGAGGTTTCAAAATTCCACTTGTTAGGGATGTTATTGTTTCTCAAAAGATTTCATGTATTAGACGGTTTATTTTCTGGAACACAACACACAAATTATCTCTTTACGAATCAAATACTATTCCTATTATTTGTTTTAGAAATGGACGCAATCTATATAAGAGATAATATCATAAACAACATAAGAAATCCCTTCTCGGGAAATGTCTTATAATGGGCTTTATTCCTGATGAAACATAAGACATGACGAAGCGGTGTGTACTCACAGTATCTATGGTATAACGATAATGTTCAATTACAGTGGCTTAGAATTATTAACCAAATCCTTCCAGTTGGACAATATTTGTTTAGAATTGGATGCATAAACTCTCCTGTTTGTACAATTTGTGACAAGTTCATAGTCGATATTTGTCATGTTTTATGAAATTGTGAACTCAGTCTGGATTGAAGTCCTAACCTGGATAAACAGCAAAGCGGAAATGAATATACAGTTTACTAAAGAAACCATTCTAATGGGCTTTCCCTCTATACGAAATGACCCTGTAAACGCAATCTGTCTTAAAAATAAAAAAACACAATTTTCAAAGCCTATCTTAAAAGACGAAAACTTTCCTTTGCTTCGACCCAGAGGGAGTTAACACATTACTATAACACAACTAAAGCCATGGCTTACGCCAAGTGCATAATACAAGTGTGACTATAACAAATTTGTCAAATGTTGGGCCATTTGCCATAAGTTGTTTGTTTGAACCCTTCTATTCAATTCCCCTGTTCAATAAAACTTTGTACAATGATGTATGACACTATATGAACCTTCAGTGAAACTCTATTTGTTGAATGACATTATATGATGTGCTGTACAACAACAAAAGTGGAATAATAACAAATAATAATAATGAATATTCATGATACGCTTTGTAAAATGATCTTACATTTGAAAGGAAGTGTTCCTAATATTGTGACAATAGGCGAACTGTGAAGATTTTCAGTAAAAGTCAATCAGTATGTCAAAATTATTAAATATTTGATAAAATTAGTATTTCAAAGTGACAATTATATCTTGGAGCATATCTATTTGTATCAGTATAATTGAAAGATGAGTAGATTTACGGGCATTAAAAGTGAAAAGTATATTATTTAATTATGGTTTTGGAAATGTATGGGAAACCCAGTTTGTGGCAAATATAAGGAAGTTTACATTAGATTTTAGGCAAAGGTGAATCGATATTGATAACAGCGATATTCTGATGCACATGGCAAACTCTGGTTTGTCATTTTTTTAAAGTATTAGAACTGATTATGCTGTTGAAAATTTTGACAGAGTTACATATTCGAATTTTTAGGATTCATTGTCACAATTTCGTTGTTCGGTCATAATCTTATATCAGAAGGTAGGAAGCTTAACATTCCACGAAAGGAGAATGAATGAATGAATGAATGAATGAATCTCTTTATTTCCTCCAGATTGTAGTCCGAAGATCATTATGAACATGTACATGACATATTTACAGCAACATAATCACAGCAATATATTCACAACACATTCATATAGTCATATATATGTACAAAGAAAAGATTAAGGTCTAGAATGCACAGTTTAGTGAGGGAAGCAAGGAATATAGGTATTTACAGAAGAGAACAATCATACATCTCCATGACATTTCATCAATATCGTTAGTAATTATGGTTCGGACATTTTACTTATCAGATAGAAAATTGTTCAATTATTTTCTTCAACTAATCCATTAATTATAAAAAGTTTAACCAAGTTTATCTTCTTAGTCCAAAAGATGAGACACAGTTTATAAAAAATTGATGATAAATTGATAATGATGATAATAGTTCGTCATATGTATTTCATGTATACTGTATATTGGCGCTCGCATGTACATGGGAAAATTGTAACACCTGAAAATGTAAAATTGCTCCGTTCCCCCATTACAAGAATAAACTCATTCGTTCATTGCAGGGCATTTGGAATGTATCTGAAGTCAAGGGACCTCTGTTACAATGTTTGTTTAGTTATATGTAAGTGATCACAGTGAATAGTTAAAGGAGCAATGTCCAAGCCCAGGTTTGTAAAATTCGCCGTACCTTAAGGGTCTGTCTTGAGTCCACTTCTTTTCATAGTTTACGAAAATGACATCGCATATAAATTACATTGAATAACAAGGCTTTTTGTTGACGGTACATGGCGCGGTGTACTTTCTGAAGAAAACACAATCATTAAAATATGTTACGTCCCTGTGTCATTTATGTTACGTTGTATCTGTGGTGCGACCTGTGTCATTCATATTAAGTTCCTGGGCCTCTTATGTAACGTCCCTGTGTATGTCATGTTACGTTCCTGTGTGTCTAATGTTTCGACAATGTGTCACTCATGCTACGTTGTAATATCTCTCATGTTACGTCCCTAAATCACCCATATTACGTCCCTAAATCACCGATATCACGTCCACGTATGCTATATCCTTCAGTAATACAATTAGATTTGAATTATTGCAAAGTACAATGTACCAATAGATATAGATCTATTCGATTTCCATCTCACACTAAAGTGGCATCACCTATTCCATTAGACTACACCACTTAAGCGAGAACATTTCATGCAAAGAAATGAAAATATATAGCTATGCCTATCACTCCTCGTTCCCTTGAAGTCTTCCTTTATTTATAATTGACTTGATTATGTTTTTGTATAGACGTCGTCGCATCTATTAAACGGACATACATTTCAACGTCTCCAGCATTATCTGTTTGGTTTCAGAGACCACAGTAAATCCTTGTAACAGGTTCCCTTGGAGTAGGAACTTCATTAGAGTGAAGCTGTTTCACCGTGGGTGAGGTATTACGCCGCTTTTAACAATATTGAAGCAATATCACGGTGGTGACATCTGCAACGAGCATCACGTATTGTGCCCTTGAGTGGAATTGAACCCGGTCTTCGGCGTGACGAACGAAAGTTCTAACCACAAGGCTACCCTACCGCCTGTCATAGAGAAAAAGTGAATCGCCTCAACTAGCATATAGTGCTAAACGACTTGCCGCTCTGTTTGCCTCCATCACGTTATTTCCAGTACCCAAATAAATTGCGAACTTTTTTCTTTTTCACGTTTTTGTGGGGCTGGGGTGGGGGTGGGGGTGTTTAAGTTCTTGCATGCCTTCTTTTGCAAATTTGTCGCATAAGTTTATTGAGTTTTCCTATCACTATATGTCATATTGTATGTGTTTATTAATCCTGGATACGTTTTTATTTTGATGATATAATAATGGCAAATGTTTATTAAATGACGTTCATTATAACTAAAGTAATATTGTTAGAATAAAAATGCAGGTATTCTGAATTTTAAGCAAAAAGAAACAGATTCGCAAAGACGGGAGTACAATTGGTGCCCATATTGTTGTTAAGAGAAGTTATACTTAATATTAACTATTAATAGCCTTGAGACGACGCCTTGTTTCTTGGTTAGTAGTATAAATTTTCCATGGAGGGTAGGGTAGGGTAGGTAAAATGGTATCGTGTCAGTTCAGAGTAGTTGGTAAGCCCAAATTGAAGCAGATACAAAGCAATATCTCTGAGGATATTCCACCATGTCTTACTGTCTTTTCCTCTTACAAAGCTTTTCACACATATTTGCACATACGTGCATGAAACCAGCACGTGTAAAGGATGCTCAAGAATTCTCCCTGTGTTTATTGCAACTGATCGACACAGACACATCCTCTATCCACCGAAGGAATTACTAGAGCAACCGGCAGGTAAGCGAAGCTCGGGTTTGGGCGAACATATGTATTATTACTTTATTCTTGGTTTGTGGTTTCAAATACGTTATATTTTAGCGGAGTATTGCAACATTTAAGTGATCTGGGATGAATCCTTAGATGAGCAAAAATACGATATTTGGTAATTGTCATACATAACTTCCGCCATACATAAACAATATCTTATCATAACGATGTTTTTGTCATTTCGTTTCACGATTCATCTTTTTAGTTGTTCATATAAACAAGCGGAAATGAAAGCGAATCATTTGTGAAAATGACGATTTCGTATAATTTAAAAAATCTACAAATCATGACAAACCTTTATTGCATTGTTTACCAATACAATGTTATCTCCATGATTTGTTCTCATCAATCTTTCTCTGTCCGAACCATAATTCTTCCACTTTTCAATATGTATACACTCATAATGCAAGTGTGGAACTAATACCACGTGCTTATGCCATACATGGGGATGACGCAGACAAAGAACTTCTCGCCATGTTTGCCTATTTCGAAATAGGCAAGTACTTGAACCCAGACTTGGAAATGTCAGAAATCGCATGCATCTGAGGCAAGTTCTCCCTCTATGACTCAGAACATCAGCTTAACTAGATACATCTACGTTGATGAGTTTTATGAACGATGCATCGGTTGATATGTCTGTACAATTTGTTTGTACAATTATACAATATATTATTAATTTAGTGAAGTAAGCAAAATGTGAGATCTTCTATACCGAATGGATAGCTTTTTGTATCTTTCTTAATTTGTTGTATACTATTGCAAATGTGATAATGAAAATGTGTTTATTATCTTGCTATTGTTAGTAGTGCTTGGCCATGTGCGACCTAATCCTGGGCCACGGAATGACATTGTCTATATTTATCTTAACTCCAGAAGTATTCGTAACAAGAGTTTTTTATCTGATTATGACGTCGTTTGTTTAACTGAAACACACTTGGATGAGCATTTATTGATTTGTGAAAAACTTTCATAAATTAAGTGTGATAATGTAAATGACTTTATTATATTGCTAGTCTTACTAGTGCTTGAACAGCTTGCAACCCTAAGCCACATATTCATGACCATTCATTGTCTATAGTTTACCTTAACACAAGAAGTATTCGTAACAAGAGTTTTTATCTGGTTATGACGTCGTTTGGTTCACTGAAACACACTTGGATGAAATTGTATCGATTTGTGAAAAAAAATTCGTGAACTAACAAGAAAAGATAGAAATATGTTAAGGGGCCAAAAGATGGTATATGTAAACAAACATTTTCGTTTCAAAGAAGCATGAGTTTGAAATATTTACCCCTCGTCGGTTTGTTTTAAGTGTTTTTCTTTTCACAAAATTCTACAGATTACAAGCATGTGCATAATTCCGGAAATTCCTGGACCCGCCTTGAAAATGTATTTGACATTTCCATAAGATTACATTTGTTGGTGTTAAAAATGGATATATGTTGTCACAAAAAGAGTGAATGCAAATGAATTAATTGTAAGGAAACATTTTCGAAATGTTATAAAGTAACTCCAAATAGTGTTTTTTTGTTAGAGCAAGAGTTAATCAATGGAGACATAGACATCACTGATAATTGTGATGTTGATTTCGATAGTAAAATAGGTTTTGTTTGTTGTTTCACGCCGTACTCAGCAATATTCCAGCTATATGGCAGCGGTCTGTAAATAATCGAGTCTAGTAAAATAAGTGGTCATAAGGGCACATGTATAAGCATATGTACTCATATTTGGACGAAAGTTGAATATTTATGAAGAAGGTGATTATGAAAAATGAAATGCTTAAATAGTAAATACTAATATAAACGACTGTAAACTGTCCAAACATAAATAATGCATGTAATATTTTCTATGAACAGTTTTGTAAACGCGTCTAGAAATGTATTCCATCAAACGCCGTTACTGTTAGGCCCAACGATAAACCATGATTTGATTCGAATTTAAGAAGACAGTCGAGAAAAAAAGACATTTTACATAAAAAGGCTAAGAAAAGTAAACGGGTCACAGATACTTTAGCACGCACAAAAAATGTAATAAAGTTTATAACATGTAATGTCATGGTAAAGATGCAAAAGCCGATGGCCCACTTTTGAAATTACATGAATAAAACAGACGCTCTTGTTTGAAATCATTATGATATTGTTATTATTGTTGGAAACCCTGATTCTAGCACTCTTATCCCAACATTCAAACAAAACGTAGTTGACAGCGCACCGACTCTGACTCCTAAAAAGGCTGGAAGGTGAAATGCTTATGTTGAATGCATATCTAATTCAAACGGTGACGGTGTACATTGTCAATATTTTCTTCTGAGAATAAATTCACATTTAGACGAAATATTCGGGAAAGGATGGAAGGTTTCATGCCCGTGTTGAAAACATGTCTAATTTAAACAATAATGACACTGACACTGTACACTGACAATATTTTCCGCTGAGAGCAAATGCACGTAGAGGCGAAATAGTTATTTCTAGAAGTGAAATTGTTGATATCATAAAATGTCTTCCGTTAGAAAACGCTTACGGGCTTGACCGAAGTAGTCAGAAGTTATTGAAAAACCTGTAGATACCATAACTAACACTTTATCTACATTTTGTAATTTCTGTTTACTGACAAGTGTATTTCCTACTAAATACAATTATGCACATGTCATGTCTTTGTTTAGAAAAGGCGATTGTTCTTTTGTTTCAAATTATAGGCCCATTTCACTCTATTTAAACAATTGTATAATTATTTCCATATAAACCATCTTCTGTATAAATACCTGGCAGGATTTCAAGCAGGTCACTTAAATGTACATTAACTGATTGAAATTTATCATCATATTTGTAAATCAACCGATAAGAGGAGAAATCATTTCATGGTATTTTGGGATGTATCTAAAGTATCCGATCGTAAATGGCACAACGGACTTATGTTTAAATTAAAATGTATGGTATCAAGGGACCTCCGTCACAATGGTTGTTTAGTTATATAAGTGATCTCAGTCAAGGGGTAATAGTTAATGGAGCAATAGCCAAGCCCAGGTTTGTAAAAACCGGCGTCTCTCAAGGGTCTCTCTTGGGTTCACTCTTTTTCATAGTTTACGAATATGATATTGCAGAATTGAATAACAAGACCTTTTCGATCATTAGAATTCATTGAACACAAACTTGACGAAATTAAAAGGCTGGGGATTTCACATATTCCTGAGAAAACCGAAGCCAGTATTGCAAAAGGTCTTTCCAGAAATGCATCACGTCAATCACTTATTTAATTAAACAGGCTGGGAAACCTTGGCAGAAGGAAGAATAAACTTTATCTTTCCATTTTCTATGAAATACGACTTGAATTAACTTTCCCATATTTAACAGTGGATCACAAGGTTCATATTAAAATTCCCTCCACAACATTAAAACATTCTCACCAATCATTTTCTTTCCTTGAAGTATCAGATTTAGGAATGACTTAATAATAAACGAGAAAAAACAGCGCAACACTAAGAGCATTCAAATCACATTTTCAAAAAGACCACGCATCTGCTCCCTCGTATTTCGCTTATGAAATTAGGAAATATAATAAAACACATACAAAGGTACGGTATATGACCGGCCAACTAAACTTTGCCTCATACAGTTATGGCATTGAGGAATGTACAGCGTGTCACTGTGAAAATATTTGCGAAAATGTGTATCATATATTCAGCATAGAGAAATGGTATTTATGAATCTGAAGGATAATAAACAGTGTATATGTCTTTAAAGATGCACGGGAGTATACTTTGAAAGAAAATAAATATTATTTAAAGCAATAGTGCAACATACATGTAGCATAAAACGGTTTGAGTGAAATGTGTTTTGTAAAATATTTTCTGGCTTTCCTCGTCTTTTTCTGATTTCATATCTATCCGTAGACTAGTTTGTAGTCTCTGAAAGATATATTACAAAATAAATGGTTCCGAATTATTATCATAAAATATGATGAAAAGGGACCCAGAGACTGTTCATTTTCAGAAACTGTGATAATCTAGGCTTGCCAAATATTCTGGATTTGCATGGGCTTTCTTGGATATAGAATTCGTTTCAGGGTTCGTATGACCAGGGAGACTATATAACGTTGTATATGTTGTAGATTATGCCTGGTATGACAGACTAACCTATCCACTATTATCACCTTCTTAATTATGAATTGTAAATAAAACTTGTAAATATTATGGAAAAGGTGTCCTAAGTTGAAGAACTTGTTCCCAATACCTTTCACATTGGGCAAAAAATATGTTTAAATAATAAAATCTATCAAGGCACTCGCAATCCCTGTCTTATATACCATCAGGAAAATTAACCGCGCTTCATATAAAATTCAAAAAAATTATTTCTTCTGAAAATGAATAATGCATAATTCTATGCATATTTATGAGAAAATCTCCTCATATCTAAAGTCACAGTATGCACTATTTTGATGTTATTGTGTTTGCTCATGATGCTCACAAGTGTGTGGTATTGTTTATATGTGAACCGTACACTATAATTGTTTGGCTATTAGATCCTCATTAAAACACCTTGTTTAAGCGTAAACAGTCATAGCTGAATGCACCAAGAGTATTCCACAAAAGGGAATGGCGCGAAACGAGTGAGTGAATATGGTTTTACGCAGTTTTAAGCAATAATCCAACTACATCACGCCGGGAAACACCGTATGGGGTTCACATGTTGTACCCAAGAGAAAAGTCAAACCCTTGATCGAGCGAACGCTTTAACCACTAACCGCCTGACATTTCAGTGTTCGTCGAGAGACGATGTCGTCTCTCTTCGGAGACGTGATATTCAGCAGGGTAGAACGCACGATCTGTTACCATCAGGTCAAGACATACATATTCGGATGGTGCGTCTGCAGATAAACTGCCACATTAACAGCTCGGACAATTATTGGGTTGAGACATCACTTTATATGAATAGAAGCGACAAGACCCTTTCCACATTCATAAGAAATCTCTGCTAAAAGCAGAGTCGATTGTCAATCTATATCGTGAGCATAATGCGTGTTTTTGTTTCAGCAGTGTTGCATCTGTACGTTGTTTGGTACATTTACAGGACCGAGCAATATATCTCTCTTTGTGCGGAATTTATGTAACTTTGGAATCGAGTACAAAAGAGGAATGGGCATGTCTTCGGGTTTCAGAGTCAAGCCAAGCGTTGATAGCTATAGCATTGTTGAATGGTTAAGGCAGATTTCGTCCTCAGTTATCATTCTGGCCTTATACGTGACGTATACCATAGTCTTTGATCAAACAATTTAGGTAATGATGTTTACATATAATGGTTATGTTATGTGAGGCCTTGTCAAAGGGAAAAACTACAAACAGCACATGCAGGGCTGCCAGACTTTGGATGACAGGTGGCTGGGACAGAACGGGTTTATTCCAATTCTGTTTCCTCTTTTTCGGTTTGTGCATTCTACCAATGACAAGATCGCGCACCGACTTAACCCACTCTGAAAGAAATTCTACAGGTTCATTTTCTCTTTTGGCCCATTTTGGCAAATGTGTCCACAGCATCCATGATGACCTTAAAGTTGTAGTCCCAATTAGTAGGAGCCTGTTCAGGTGCATATTTAAATTGTTGACAAAGGTTGCTATTGTCAACAAGGAGAAGTCACCTGTGGTTATATGCTTTGCAGGTGGGTAGCAAACCTTGAGTCTTGGCAGCCAACGGAGGTGAAATTTGCATCATGATCTGTCAAGTCCACGTTCTCCAAAGCGTTCCTATGAAATTGATATTGTTGGCACGGTTAGGAATAGATAATTAAAATAAATATAACCCTTCCTATATATGAGCCTAGATAGCGCACTAATTTGTTGACAGTGTGTCCTATAACTAGATCAAAAACTGCCCAAAACATTCAAACTCATGCCGTGGGACGCGATGTTCCGGTTGTCACCAAAGAGGTCGCACTGGATTTAGTCACGGTTGGATCGCTTCCACTACCTTAAAGTTCGTTTTTTGTTTAACGCCGCACTCTGCAATATTCCAACTATATGACGGCGGTATGTAAATACTTGGTCTGAGCCAGACAATCCAGTTATCAATAGCATGAGTATCGATCTACGCAATTGGGATACGATGACCTGTGTCAACCAAGTCAGCGAGCCTGATCACCCGATCCCGTTACTTCATACTACGTTAAAGATAGGAATGACGTGATCTTACATAGTAGCTATGGTAACGAATTGGCCTGGGTATTTATCAAAATAAAAAGGAAATATCATACAATGGATAATCGAAAATGGTCGAAATCCATGGAAACAGCCTGACTTAAAGACAAGCTAGCGGAGATTTGAATAGATATTTTCGTACACTGAAACCTAAAGTTCCTGTTTCTCTACCAGAATGATGCCTCGAGTGTTGGTGTACCTTTGTCTGGGATTAGCAGGACAATGCCTTGCTGACGACGATGACGACAGGGTTGTGAGGAAACCATATGGGATCGCAATGTGCCGTCAACTCTGCCACGAGATCGTCGACTGCGGCGTCTACATGTTCTCATGGTCGAGTCTCAGTTGTTGTATACCACTGTCAAGCTCTGGGAACTGCCATGATGGTATCAGTCTTTTGCCAGATAATAAGCAAGTAAGTAATTCGGTCCTATTGGTGCTTATATCTCACTGTCATTAACGGGGAGGCCCGTGAAGATCCGGGGTAGAATAGGTCTTCAACAACCCATTCTTGCCACAAAGGTGACTATGCTTGTCGTAAGAGGCGACTAACGGGATCGGGTGGTCAGGCTCGCTGACTTGGTTGACCCATGTCATCGGTTCCCAATTGCGCAGATCGATGCTCATGATGTTGATCACTGGATTGTCTGGTCCAGACTCGATTATTTACAGACCGCCGCCATATAGCTGGAATATTGCTGAGTGCGGCGTAAAACTAAACTCACTCACTCACAGATAAACGGGCAATCAGATACCGGTTTCACAGGACCATAGTGGGAGCCTTTTCAGTGTGCGGTGTGGTGTCGTTTGTGTGTTTGTTTGTTGTTCAACGCCGCACTGAGCAATATTCCAGTTAAATATTGAGGTGGTCTGTGAATAATCGAGTCTGAGCCAGACAAGCCTGTGACCAACAGCATTAGCACCGATCTAGGCAATTGGGATACGATGACATGTGTCAACCCAGTCAAAAAGGATGATCACTCGATGTGAGCGTGTGTCTATGCTTGCGTGTGCGTACGTACGTGTTGGGGAGATATTGGGGGTGAGGGTGGGGTACGTGTATGTGGGGGTTGGCGTGGATGGGTGAGACAAGGGCTCTGGCGTTGAACAACACTCACTTGGTCGGTTTGAAAAATTACATACCAGTAATTAATGTCGGAGAAGTCAGTCTGTAAAATGATCACAATTAACGACTTTCTAATACGAAATCTGTTGTGCTTTCAAAGTGACAATTTGAACTGCACGGTTTTACCAAATGAAATATCAGTGTTTGGCCCGAAGTCGCTTTGTGCAAGTGTATAACGCTATTTTAGCCGATGTTTAAGATCTTAATGCCATGAGTATTGTTATTTTATCTGCATTATTTAGCGGTTTCCATGCAGCAGTTTTATATCATGTCCATGTCAATCCGATACCTTTTCTGGCACTCTGTCCTGCGATATAATGTAAAGCAACTACCATATAATAATTTTATTTATCATATACATCAACGTCAGATTGTAAAATGCATCTGTTTGAAAGCGACTGCAGTATATTTCAATCTTGTTTGGAAGACATTGTCACAGGTAGCCGGAGGAGCTGACAACACACAAAGGGATGTAACTCTAATTTCTTGTCTCCATGGCTGACAATGGTCGCCCATTTGCAACACAGAAAAGCATTATTACCCGGCAGGCTTGTCATACGTGTTTTATTATTAGACCAATGTCATATGGCCGTCTTTATCTTTGCTCTATCGCGCATACAAAATAAATGATATTATTTAAGGTGAGGTGAAATGGGATTTAACGCCGTACTTAATATTTCGCTCATATGACGACGTGTATGCGTGTGTATGTGTGGCTTCTTGTACTACCCCAGACTTAAGCTGGTTTTATAGTGCTAGCTTACTTAGATATCATGCCGCAGTTAAGCATGAATACTGACTTCGAGCCGACCAGTCCTTGTTGTACCCATTAATGCCGAGCGCCAGGCAGGGACAAAAGGTACCATATTTTAACGTATTTTCGTATGACGCGGCCGGGGTTCGAACCCGCGACCTTCCGCTCTCCGGGCGGACGTTCCAACCACTACGGTGGGTGTCGATAATTTTTAAAACGCGAATATACTGGAGAATCAGCTTGCTATTAAAACAAACAATCTATACTATAACATAAGACCTATGCGCATAAACGATGAGTTTACTAGACAGCACCGAATGATTTGCGACTGTCTGTCTAGTTTATGCCTATAAAGTTATTATTGTTATATATTATATTATATTATATTATATTATATTATATTATATTATATTATATTATATTATATTATATTATATTATATTATATTATATTACTTCAGTGGCGTTATCTCGACAGAATTACATCATTTAGTTCCACCGAGGTATTGATGGTAAATTGTATAATGGATGACCAGTTACGAGTGTGCAATGAATGTACATCTGGCCAATCACATCTGAATGTGATTTGACCAACGTGTAATACAGGACAGGACAGACCAATATGTTACACCTTGTTTCTTGAGAGATACCCGTTTGCCTCAATTTATAGCTAACTTTTTAAAAGACAGACAATTTCAAGTCCAAGTGGGATCTACCCTTTCTGATCATTACAATCAGGATCAGGGTGTCCCACAAGGCAGTATTTTGTCTGTCACATTATTTAGTATCAAGATCAACAGTTTATCCAAGGTTTTAAACGATTCCATTGATGGATCACTTTTTGTGGATGATTTTAACATTTCTTGTCGCGGGTAGAATATGCATACTATAGAACGGCAACTACAGTTGTGTTTAAATAAAATACATAAATGGTGTCTTGAAAACGGCTTTAAATTTTCTAAATCCAAAACTAATTGCATACATTTCTGCCGTAAATATAAACCACATAAAGACCCAGAACTGTTTTTAAATGGCACTCCAATCAAGGCTGTAAAAGAGGCCAAGTTCTTAGGTCTCATTTTCGACTCCCATTTAACTTTTCTTCCGCATATCAAATCTCCAAAAACTAAATGCCTGAAGGCACTCGATTTATTGAAAGTCGTATCTAATTCAAGGTGGGGAGGAGATCAAGCTACGCTCCTACACCTTTACAGATCACTTGTCCACTCGAAGCTTGATTATGGCTCCATCGTATATGGTGGAGTCTTCAAAAGCAACCTAAAACTACTTGATTCTGTCCACCACCAAGGCCTAAGACATTGTCTCTTTGGTCATTTAGAACCTCTCCTATTGATAGTCTCTATGTTGAGGCTGATGAGCCATCCCTTACTCAACGTCGTATCAAACTATCTTTACAGTATATAACAAAACTCTATTCTAACGAGTCTAATCCTGCATTTAACTGTGTTTTCAATCCTTCTAATGAGGAGTTGTACAACAAAAAGCCTTCTCTTGTTCCGCCTCTTGGACACAGAATTAAACCATTTCTTACTGCTGCCGGCATTGAGCTGGAAAATATATCTCCTTCCCGTCTTCTTTCTTCCCCTCCTTGGCAACTGGTGAGGCCTGAAGTTGACCTAACTCTGACAAAGTTTAAGAAGTCTGAAACTAATGAATTACAGTATAAACAAGAATATAATCAATTAAAAATCAAATATAATACATACAAATCCTTATTTACAGACGGGTCCAAGGACGGTGGCGCAGTGGCATGTGCCACTGTCATTGGATCCCGAACAATATCTTCTAGAATACCGGATAACAGCTCTATATTTACAGCAGAAGCAAACGCCATCTTAACAGCTCTTAAATATGTTAATAAACACCGTAAATATAAACACTATATCATCTTTTCATATTCTCTTTCTTGTCTTCAGGCTATTAAAAATCTTTCTTGCAAATATCCACTTTTATTAGAAATTATTGAATTGTACAATGAACTTGCTACTGGCCAATGCGACATCGTCTTTTGTTGGTTACCCAGCCACGTTGGCATTTCTGGGAACACGATGGCTGATATTGCTGCTAAGGCAGCACTCAACAAATCTTTGACACCACTTCTTATCCCATACTCTGATTATAAAGCCAGCATTAGAACATACATCCGCGATCTAATGCAAAAGAAGTGGGACACCCAAGTAGGTATTAATAAATTACATGCAATAAAACCTTACATTGGTTACACCTACTTGGGTTGTCAGTCCAGATTTGAAGAGGTCATTATGCGACGATGTCGTATTGGCCATACCAGATATACTCATGAATATTTATTGAAAAGCGAAGATCCTCCGTTTTGTATCCCTTGTGATGAAAGGATCACAGTTAAGCATGTCTTGCTTGACTGCATTGAATATTCCATCACAAGGGATATCTATTTCAAATCCAAAACTCTGAAGGATCTTTTTAATAATGTCAGTTCTCATTTAATTATTGCATTTTTTAAAAATTAGATTTGTTGAGTGATTTGTAAATAGATATATATTTTGTTATTGGTAGTTTAGATTAGCAACTGAGATTGTTAGTGGCTGTATCCTCAAAGGTGGTTGAAGTATTGTAAAAATATTGTCCTCCTGAGAGGGTACGTAACTCCCAAAACATTTAATCAATCTAAGTGTACCTGCTTTTTTATCGTAGAATAAGTGTGTTATTAATTTCTGGCTAGATTTCTCTTCTGTCGCCAATGGCTGAAGGGATGGTGTAAATCCAACTAGGGCCCATGCAGGTAGCAAAGGCACTGTAAGTCCCCATGGTCCTATTATGGTGATCTACCTTCAGTTGATGGCGACCTATAGCCCATTTTTACATTGTATCGTCCAGAAATAATTTTCTACTTTTAAAGATATATGCTAGCTAGTTTTAACTTAATCTGTGATAATCTAGTGGTTTTATACTGTCCTTCGTTGACAGGGTTTTATATATTATATGTATGTATTATAAATTTAGAACTAGTTTTAGTCACGATATGGCTGAAATATTGCCGATCTGACTTTAAATCTTAACTCACTCACTCACTTGAGAGATACTGGTCTTGGATCTTGGGGGCGGCAGAGTAGCCTAGTGGTTAAAGCGTTCGCTCGTCACGCCAAAGACCCAGGTTCGAATCCCCACATGGGTACAATGTGTGAAGCCCATTTCTGGTGTTCCTCGCCGTAGTATTGCTGGAATATTGCTAATAGCGGGGTAAAACCATACTCACTCACTCACCACTCGCCATTCTTTCCATTAACAAAATTCTAAAGAAGCATCAAAACACATTTTTATTATAATTTCATTCGAATATTTTTCTGAGTCAAAATCTAAAACTGATTCCCTCAGTGAAGTCAGTGAACGTACACGCGATGAACTTGGTATTAAATTATATTCAGAGCAAGCCACAATATGCATGCCCTGTTCATGTAGAAGCGTCGTAACTGATGTCCACCTGACGTTCGGTGCGTGCCCTGTTGGTGCCAATAATTATGTTCCATTTGTAGATTGAAGCCAACATCAACCTGACTTCTACTGGAAGCTGCCAACAGAAAGTGCGGAGAGTGATCTTAAGCAGGACGAAGGGGCGTCACTGCGTCGAATGGAAATCTGAAGGTCGGTCTCTTACCCAATCCTTGAGCGAGTTTGGTTTTACGCCGCCTTTAGCAATATTCAAGCAATATCATGGCAGCGGACACCAGAAATGGGCTTCACAAATTGTACCATGTGGAAAATCGAACCAGGGTCTTCGGCGTGACGAGCGAACGCTATAACCACTGGGTTACCCCACCTCCCCCAATCCTTGAACCAGAGCACATCAAGTAATCATTACTGAAGGCCCTTGGCTGAATATATTTGAGAGTCACACGTTTTTTACTTACTCTTGTGATAGTAGCTGGTAGTGTACACTTGTGTGTATGTTGTGTGATGGTATATTGTGATAATAACGTATGTAGATATAGTGTGTGTTAATAACTAGTGTTGGTATATTGTGATATTATGTATGTAGATATATTGTGTGTTAATCACTGGTGTTGGTATATTGTGATATTATGTATGTAGATATATTGTTTGTTAATAACTGGTGTTGGTATTGTGTGTGTCAATAACTAGTGTGGATATATTGTGTGATTGTAACTGGTGTTGGTATAGTGCGATAAAAAAGTATGTACATATATTGTGTGGTTGTAACTGGTGTTGGTATAGTGTGATAAAAAAGTATGTACAGATATTGTGTGATTGTAACTTGTGTTGGTATAGTGTGATAAAAAAGTATGTACAGATATTGTGTGATTGTAACTTGTGTTGGTATAGTGCGATAAAAAAAGTGTGTACATATATTGTGTGATTGTAACTTGTGTTGGTATAGTGTGATAAAAAGAGTATGTACATATATTGTGTGATTGTAAGAAGTGTTGGTATAGAGTGATAAAAACTAGAGTAGATATATTCTGTGGTAGTAACCATGCAGTGTTGACACTGAGTGATAAAAACGTATGTAGATATATTGTGTGATTGTAACTGGTGTTGGTATAGTGCGATAAAAAGGTATGTACAGATATTGTGTGATTGTAACTTGTGTTGGTATAGTGCGATAAAAAGTGTGTACATATATTGTGTGATTGTGTCTTGTGTTTGTATAGTGTGATAAAAAAAGTATGTACATATATTGTGTGATTGTAAGAAGTGTTGGTATAGAGTGATAATAACTAGAGTAGATACATTCTGTGGTAGTAACCATGCAGTGTTGACACTGAGTAATAAAAACGTATGCAGATATATTATGTGGTTGTAAGTTGTGTTGGTATAGTGTAATAAAAAAGTATGTACATATATTGTGTGATTGTAACTGGTGTTGGTATAGTGCGATAAAAAATTATGTACATATATTGTGTGATTGTAACTTGTGTTGGTATAGTGCGATAAAAAGTGTGTACATATATTGTGTGATTGTAACTGGTGTTGGTATAGGGTGATAAAACAAAGTATGTACTTATATTGTGTGATTGTAAGAAGTGTTGGTATAGAGTGATAATAACTAGAGTAGATATATTCTGTGGTAGTAACCATGCAGTGTTGACACTGAGTAATAAACACATATGCAGATATATTGTGTGATTGTAACTGGTGTTGGTATAGTGCGATAAAAAAGTATGTACATATGTTGTGTGATTGTAACTTGTGTTGGTATAGTGCGATAAAAAAGTGTGTACATATATAGTGTGATTGTAATTAGTGTTGGTATAGTGTGATGAAAAAAGTATGTACTTATATTGTGCGATTGTAAGAAGTGTTGGTATAGAGTGATAATAACTAGAGTAGATATATTCTGTGGTAGTAACCATGCAGTGTTGACACTCAGTAATAAAAACGTATGCAGATATATTGTGTGGTTGTAACTAGTGTTGGTATAGTGTGATAAAAAAGTGTGTACATATATTGTGTGATTGTAACTTGTGTTGGTATAGTGCGATAAAAAAGTGTGTACATATATAGTGTGATTGTAATTAGTGTTGGTATAGTGTGATGAAAAAAGTATGTACTTATATTGTGCGATTGTAAGAAGTGTTGGTATAGAGTGATAATAACTAGAGTAGATATATTCTGTGGTAGTAACCATGCAGTGTTGACACTCAGTAATAAAAACGTATGCAGATATATTGTGTGGTTGTAACTAGTGTTGGTATAGTGTGATAAAAAAGTGTGTACATATATAGTGTGATTGTAATTAGTGTTGGTATAGTGTGATGAAAAAAGTATGTACTTATATTGTGCGATTGTAAGAAGTGTTGGTATAGAGTGATAATAACTAGAGTAGATATATTCTGTGGTAGTAACCATGCAGTGTTGACACTGAGTAATAAACACATATGCAGATATATTGTGTGATTGTAACTGGTGTTGGTATAGTGCGATAAAAAAGTATGTACATATGTTGTGTGATTGTAACTTGTGTTGGTATAGTGCGATAATAAAGTGTGTACATATATAGTGTGATTGTAATTAGTGTTGGTATAGTGTGATGAAAAAAGTATGTACTTATATTGTGCGATTGTAAGAAGTGTTGGTATAGAGTGATAATAACTAGAGTAGATATATTCTGTGGTAGTAACCATGCAGTGTTGACACTCAGTAATAAAAACGTATGCAGATATATTGTGTGGTTGTAACTAGTGTTGGTATAGTGTGATAAAAAAGTGTGTACATATATAGTGTGATTGTAATTAGTGTTGGTATAGTGTGATGAAAAAAAGTATGTACTTATATTGTGCGATTGTAAGAAGTGTTGGTATAGAGTGATAATAACTAGAGTAGATATATTCTGTGGTAGTAACCATGCAGTGTTGACACTGAGTAATAAACACATATGCAGATATATTGTGTGATTGTAACTGGTGTTGGTATAGTGCGATAAAAAAGTATGTACATATGTTGTGTGATTGTAACTTGTGTTGGTATAGTGCGATAATAAAGTGTGTACATATATAGTGTGATTGTAATTAGTGTTGGTATAGTGTGATGAAAAAAGTATGTACTTATATTGTGCGATTGTAAGAAGTGTTGGTATAGAGTGATAATAACTAGAGTAGATATATTCTGTGGTAGTAACCATGCAGTGTTGACACTGAGTAATAAAAACGTATGCAGATATATTGTGTGATTGTAACTGGTGTTGGTATAGTGTGTGATGATAACTAATGTAGATATTTCGTGTGATAATAACTAGCGTTGGTATAGTTCGTTATAATAACTAGTGTTGGTATAGTTCGTTATAATAACTAGTGTTATTTGTGTTATTGACACTAGTTATTTTGTGCTATATTAATTGGTGTTCATGTCTTTTTTGTGATCGTAATAATTACTCTTCCTCTTCATCTGCACGAAATGACCAACAGGTCAGTCTGATCTACGTCATAAATTGATTTAAAGACTATTACCACTTGATCTAAAATATCTATTGAAATATTCCGAGCACTTCAATGGAAATAAGTGAGTATGGTTTTAAGCCGCTTGTAGCAATATTCGAGCAATACCACGGCGGGGGACACCAGAAATGGGTTTCAGACATTGTACCTATGCGGGGAATCGAACCCAGGTCCCCTGCGTGACGAGCAAACTCTTTAACCGGTAGGCTGCTCTACCGCCCCGACGACGTCAATGGTAAACGTGGACGTCAAAGATTACGTCCACCAACCAATCGGCTGAAACTCAGTGCTTCTCCCACGGATAAGCGGAACAACACGACAGAAGATTCGTACTTGCAGGTCCAACAAAGGTGTTTTTATCTTATATCAGTGACGTTTGATGCAAAATGCTATTATCGAATTTGATCCCCGACCTCCTTAAGGAACCAAAGTTCTTCGATCTCATCAGATCAAGCATTAGAACCAATTAGATCTGATCGCCTACTAGATGTGATCATTTCAATTCCATTAGCAGTGCCAGATCAGATCAGATCACATATGATCTCCGTTATCAATAACAATATCCCCTTCCTTTTAGGCAGAATATATTATGCATGTAGGTAACTAAGTGTGTCCATATGTGAGTGACAAATGCAAATTGACAATAAATCACGTGACAGTAAATAGCATGATTGATATAGTGAGTGAGTGAGTGAGTTTAGTTTTACGCCGCACTCAGCAATATTCCAGCTATATGGCGGCGGTCTGTAAATAATCGAGTCTGGACCAGACAATCCAGTGATCAACCGCATGAGCATCGATCTGCGCAACTGGGAACCGATGACATGTGTCAACCAAGTCAGCGAAACTGACCACCCGATCCCGTTAGTCGCCTCTTACGACAAGATAGTCGCCTTTTTATGGCAAGCACATGGGTTGCTGAAGACCTATTCTACCCCGGATCTTCACGGGTCTGATTGATATAGAGTGGATATAGCGTGACCATCAATGTTGTTCAGTTCGGAAATCACCAGTGTAGATATATCTTGTGATAGCAACTAGTGTTGATATATTGTGTGATGGCAGAAGTATTGATATATTGGGTGACAGTAACTAATCAGATTTATATATTGTGCATGTCAATATCCAGCAGTGTCGACATATTGTGCATGTTAGTAAACACCACTGTCAATTTTTTTACATGTTAGTAAACACCAGTGTCGAACATATTGTGCATGTTATTAAACACCACTGTCAATATTTTTTACATGTTAGTAAACACCACTGTCAATATTTTTTACATGTTAGTAAACACCAGTGTCGACATATTGTTCATGTTAGTAAACACCACAGTCAATATATTGTGCATGTTAGTAAACACCACTGTCAATATTTTTTACATGTTTGTAAACACCACTGTCTACATATTGTGCATTTTACTAACATCAGTGTTGATATATTGTGCATGTTAGTAAACACCACTGTCGATATATTGTACATTTTACTAAGCATCAGATCGATATATTGTGCATGCTAGTAACATCAGTGGCAACATATTGTGCATGTAAGTAAACAATTTGAACTGGTACAAATACATTCCATGTGGAAAAGGGAAGGTATGTGACATTTGCAAGTGTTACTGAATGTTTCAGTTCACGAGAAGAAGAAACATCTTCTTGGGCTGCCGCGTCTGTTGCTAACCCCTCTTAGAATCAACACAGTGACTCAATTCCACCAACTACAAATAAATACTAGCATTCAGGAGGAATATCCCTTCATTCAAAATCCCAGGAGGGTCAGGACGATTGGTTATATACCTTCTCTGAAGAGGATTGTTGTTGACATGGAACTAACACCGGTCCTTTCCTCATTTGCTATAGATAGTTCTGACCAAACGATCCTAAAGAAAGGACTCTTGACCACTGCTATGTGCGTGGATGACCAGAAACAACTTGTATTTGTTCTTGTAAACATAAAACCGAAATTGGGCATATGGCGTGTTCCGGCGAATGGAAGAAATATTGGACAAAGTTTGATTTTCCGAGGGAAACTCTTCTCATCTTTCTCCATTGACATCCAAACTGAGAGGTTCTATATGTTTAAGGGATCGGGTTTATATTCATCTAAATACGATGGAAGTGACATGGCTCTTCTTCGGAAGCCTCTCAGCTCACGTTTGTCCCTGTTTGATGACATTAACCGGAATCTGTATTACATCAAAAGCTATGTGCTTCATAAAGTATCCCTTTCGAACAATATAACTAGTAGGTTACAACCGCTTAAATATCCACCTGCTGCTCTCGTTAAGTATGGCGGGCACATTTACATAAGTTTCTATAATACTCTACAGATTGGTGTTTTGAATTTGGGCACTGGAAATTATGAATATTTAGAAACGGTGAACGTCAGTTGGACAGCATATGCTCTAACCTTTTGCATATTATCCTAACGGTATTTAGCATTTTTACTGAGTGAGTTCGTATAGGATTGCTTCTTGCAGTAATGTAACAATGTATCGAGCATCTTCCTGGTTAAGCAGATTTAAGAAATTTGTCCATTTTCAAAACGACAACAGTAAAGAAATTCCTAACTTTTGTCTATCTGACCATGTTTGCATTTCTTGTGTTTTATATTGAAAATGACATACATATCTGCTTTATACTTGACTTGCGTTAAGTTTGCGTTTGAGAATATTTATCCAAGTCTGCTCTTATTTCTTATGAAGGACTTCCCAACAAAGATAACATTACATGGCCCGAGCTTAAAGACTCATTTTTAAATGGTATGGTCTCACATAAATCCAAATTATAAATCGCACAATATGCCCTAATCGACAGGAAACAAAAAGAAAACGAGGACTTTCGTTTATTTCTTCAATCTATTCGACATGAGGCTTCATTTTAGAAATGCAACGATTGCCAATTCATAAGAGACCTCATTTTCAGAAATTCCCTTCCTCACATGTTCAGTTTATTGCCACTTTGTTCGACATGATAGAGAGTGCCGTGGTAGCAGAGGGCATACATCAAATGTATAGTTTGGGGTAATCCTGTTCATCATCTCGTCTATGAAAGTTTATCCGGACAGACTACATGAAGAACAGCAGAAGCCAACAAATCACGTTCAACCCCCAACAAAGCAATGCATTCACCCAACCCCTTTCTTTCCAGGGTCAGCCTCCAGTCTTTGTAGATGTGTTCAATTTGTCCCTGTTTTGAAACGACGATGTTAGCAGACAGACGAGCGTACACCCAATGTAGTACTATAGTATAGAATGAATCCTAGAGTCTTACAACGGACCATAACGCCAACAAAGGGCAGGTAACTCTAAACGTAGCTCCTCAGCTTACTCTTAACAGGTGAAATTACATGTACATAGCCAAAGTTCAAGATGAACGTTCAAATCCACACTTAGCTCTTTAAACTTTTGTGAGCCATAATAACTAAAGGTTAATTAATGTGACATTCTAATCAACAAAACCACATTCTGATAACACGTTGTTTGATTAATAATTAAAGTATGATATGTGTTAAAATATGCCTGGGGTTGACTCGTAATGATCAATTTAAATATGATGCTTGATATGATGTTATGATGACATGTCTGTATGATCTTGAATGGCGTGGCGAGAAAAGATGAGATACGGGTAAACTAGGAGAGCCATTAAGTCTGTTTTTATGTCTTTGTTTATGAGGATGGTGGGGTAGGGGTGGGGATGCGAGAAAGCAAGCGAAGGAAAGAAAGGTAGAGGTGATATTTCGCTGTTGTTAGAATGATAGAAAATGAAGATCTATTTCATGTTGAGAAAGGGCATGATAGACGAGAGGGTAAGTGTTTAGAGAAAAAGAGAAGAGCGAAAACGGACTGCTATCTTGATGTGACAGTAAATGACGATTACATGTCATGAACCACAGAGCACTCATTAATGGATGTGTGAACATACCCTGATGTGTTGTCGTATTATTCTACATGGAGTATAGACATGTTTGTATAATCCCTGTGTTATGCTAAAATATATGTAAGCATCAGGTTGGTATATTGTGTACGTTAGAGGGCATCATATCGATATATTGTGCATGTTAGTAAACATCCTTGTTGACATATTGTGCATATTAGTAGGCATCAATGTCAATATATTGTGCATGTTAGTAAACATCAGTGTTGACATATTGTGCATGTTAGTAGGCATCAATGTCAATATATTGTGTACGTCAGTAGGCATCAGTGTTGACATATTGTGCATGTTAGTAGGCATCAATGTCAATATATTGTGTACGTCAGTAGGCATCAGTGTTGACATATTGTGCATGTTAGTAGGCATCAATGTCAATATATTGTGCATGTTAGTAAACATCAGTGTTGACATATTGTGCATGTTAGTAGGCATCAATGTCAATATATTGTGTACGTCAGTAGGCATCAGTGTTGACATATTGTGCATGTTAGTAGGCATCAATGTCAATATATTGTGCACGTTAGTAGGCATAAATGTCAATATATTGTGCACGTTAGTAGGAATCAATGTCAATATATTGTGCATGTTAGTAGGCATCAGTGTTGACATATTGTGCATGTTAGTAGGCATCAATGTCTATATATTGTGCACGTTAGTAGGCATCAATGTCAATATATTGTGCATGTTAGTAGGCATCAATGTCAATATATTGTGCATGTTAGTAGGCATCAGTGTTGACATATCGTGCATGTTAGTAGGCATCAATGTCAATATATTGTGCATGTTAGTAGGCATCAGTGTTGACATATTGTGCATGTTAGTAGGCATCAATGTCAATATATTGTGCATGTTAGTAGGCATCAGTGTTGACATATTGTGCATGTTAGTAGGCATCAATGTCAATATATTGTGCACGTTAGTAGGCATCAATGTCAATATATTGTGCATGTTAGTAGGCATCAATGTCAATATATTGTGCACGTTAGTAGGCACCAATGTCAATATATTGTGCATGTTAGTAGGCATCAATGTCAATATATTGTTCATGTTAGAAGGCATCAGTGTCAATATATTGTGCACGTTAGTAGGCACCAATGTCAATATATTGTGCATGTTAGTAGGCGTCAATGTCAATATATTGTGCATGTTAGTAGGCATCAATGTCAATATATTGTGCATGTTAATAGGCATCAATGTTGATATATTGTATATTTTGATGAGCATCAGCTCGGTATAATTAGTACACAATATGTTGAAGAACAGGTATACATTCCATGTGTCAAAAAGAAGGTATGTGACATTTGCAAGTGTTACTGAATGTTTCAGTTCACGAGAAGAAGAAACATCTTCTTGGGCTGCCGCGTCTGTTGCTAACCCCTCTTAGAATCAACACAGTGACTCAATTCCAACAAGTACAAATAAACACTAGCATTCAGGAGGAATATCCCTTCATTCAAAATCCCAGGAGTGTCAGGACGATTGGTTATATACCTTCTCTGAAGAGGATTGTTGTTGACATGGAACTAACACCGGTCCTTTCCTCATTTGCTATAGATAGTTCTGACCAAATGATCCTAAAGAAAGGACTCTTGACCACTGCTATGTGCGTGGATGACAAGAAACAACTTGTATTTGTTCTTGTGAACGAAAACTATGGAATAGGTATATGGCGTGTTCCGGCGAATGGACGAGATATTCGACAAATTCCTCGTTTCCGAGGGAAGTCCTTCCTCTCTTTTTCTATTGACATCCAATCTGAGAGGTTCTATGTGTTTAAGAGATCAGGCTTATATTCATTTGAATACGATGGAAGGTACGAAGCTCTTCTTTTTGAACATGTCAGCTCCCGCTTGTCCCTGTTTGATGACATTAACCAGGAGCTGTATTACGGCAAAGTTAGGGTGCTTCATAAAGTATCGTTTTCAAAAGAAAAATCTTTTAGGGTACAGTCGTTTGAATATTCACTTGCTGCTCTCGTTAAGTATGATGGGCACATGTACATAAGTTTTCAAAATACTCTACAGATTGGTGTTTTGAATTTGGGCACTGGAAAATATGAATATTTTCAAACGGTGAATGCCAGTTGGATTACATGTCCTCTAATCTTTTGCATATTATCCTAACGATATTTAGCATTTGTACAGAGTAAGTTTGTAGGGGATTGTTTCTTGCAGTAATGTAGCAATGTATGGTGCATCTTCTTGGCTAAGCAGATTTCAGAAATTTGTCCATATTCAAAACTACAACAGTGAACAGGTTGCTAACATTTTCCGATATATACTCACACGCATAAGAAACGCAAGTTTTCTATCCATATAGGAAACAAACTCGGACCCTACATTGATATGGGTTTTTGGAATATAGTGAAGCCTGGTGATGTTATCAATTATTTTTGTTGCGTTTTGGAAGGCCCGAACACATCAATAGAAGGAATCACCAAAACGCACCATACCAATGAACATGTGGGTATCATGCACACACTTCTCGTGAAATCCAACATACACGAATTGTCACCACCATTAGTGGGTATAAGACTGCACAAAAGAATAAATATATTACTCCTTGTTCTACAATGCCAACTCCAATTGAAAGAAACCAGGCTATCAGACGTTCGGAAGCTGGAGTGTCTGCCCAAATTAGTGCCCGTCATTTCGACGTAAACATAACCACTATTTACCGTCTCCAGCATCGATACAACGCTACAAAGACCACAGATGACCTTCCTCGGAGCGCTCGTCCAAGGGTCACCACCCCCCCGACAAGATCGGTACATTACCCATCAACACCAGAGAGATCCGCTCTTGTCAACCCCTTTACCTTTCTTAAACGTAATGATGTCATCAGTCTTGGTAGCCAATGAAATGTCTTCACTCATTTTTTTGTGTATCTGGCCATGTTTGCATTTCTTGTGCTTTATATTGAAATTTACATACTTATCTGCTTTATACTTGACTTGCGTTAGTTTTGCGTGTGAGTATATTTATCTAAGTCTGCTCTTATTTCTTATGAAGGACTTCCCAACAAAGATAACATTACATGGCCCGAGCTTAAAGAATCATTTTTAAAATGGTATGGTCCAACATCAATCGCAAATCGCAAAAATGCCCTAATCGACAGGAAACAAAAAGAACACGAGGAATAACGATTATTTTTTCAATCTATTCAACATGAGGCTTCACTTTAGAAATGTAACGATTACCAATTGATATAAAACTCGTTTTCAGAAATTCCTTCTCACATCGTTCAGTTTATTGCCACCAGACGCCATGACATGTCAGACATGTTAGAGAGCGCTCTGGTAGCTAGCGACATATACCAGGTGTCTAGTATGGAGGAATCATGTCCAGTATCTCGTCTAGTATGAAGGTTAAGCGGGATAGGTTACTTGAAGAAGACAACAAATTACTTTCAACCCTCCCCATGCAATGCATTCCACAAACCCTTTCCCATGGTCATCCCCCAATCTCTTCAACTATAGTTGGGCATGAAATGCATGTGGACCCGTGTTTTTGTAAATATCTCTTCATTCAATGAACCAATTGATCTCAAACTGTGCAAGTGGATGTTTTGTCAGACAACCTAATCACAGTGTAAATCACCGATTTTATGCAATTGTATTAAAGAATCTGTCTATGTAACTGTCAACAAAATAAACAGCAGAACGCAGAATGCTTGCAGAGGGAGGGAGCCAATGACCTGTAACAGCGGCAGTGTTGGGTCATAAAGGTAAATGCACGTGCAGTTCATGATAGTTACCTGTGCATTGCCCAGTGATAGACCGTTTGCATCATTCACATTGACTACTTCGAGCTGTCATCATGAAAGCTTATTCAGATTATGCTAAACGTTTAATTAGAAATGTGTTGAAATTTTTTTTAAAAAGAGAGCAAGCGTAGCAAACCGATTTATAAGGTGTCGGATTACATGAAACCAACTTTTGCTCCTGGCATGAAAAAGAACATCGTGCTAAAAATTGTGAAAAATAAACCAACAACCAATAAACAAAACCTTGTACAAAAAGGTAGGCATCCAAAGTTATATTCTTTTGACATCAGGGTCATCAGAGATGCCATTCGCCGGCTATTTGCTAGAAATGAACACCTCTTCATACCAGTCACGTGCATAGCTGACCTACATTGACGAACGTTGACCTTTATAACCCAACACTGTCGCTGTTACAGGTCATTGGCTCCCTCCCTCTGCAAGCATTCTGCGTTCTGCTGTTTATTTTGTTGACAGTTACATAGACGGATTCTTTAATACAAATGCATAAAATCGGCGATTTACACTGTGATTAGGTTGTCTGACAATACATACACTTGCACAGTTTGAAATCGATTTGGTCATTTTATGAAGAGATGTTTACAAAAAAACGGGTCCACATGCATTTCATGCCAAACTATAAGTTCAGTTTTATGTCCCTGTTCTGTATGCTCTCTTTCGTAGCATACATGTGTGTGTATGTACCATCAAATTAATTTTGTTCTAGCATCGCTGTTCATTAAGATGTACTGTAGTATATATGTATTCATATGTCGTCGTTTGATTAATAATCAAAGGATAAATATGCCTTGAGACATGTCTGAGATTGACATAATTATTTATGTAATTATGATACTTGTTATGATGCTTGATGATGTTGTAATGTTATGAAAGAGGGAGGGAAAGAATGACAGCCATCTTGATGTGAAAATATAGGACCAATAAATTTAAAGTTTAAATTGTATGGAGGTTTGAGTATGTACCACAGAGCGCTTATGAGAGAAGGTGTGAAAATACCATGATGTAACTTTGTATTCTTGTATTTTTCAAGGAATTCGTGATGTATTGGTAAGAATATGTCGCCAAAACGAACAATCCTTTACCTGAATTTATTTTATGTATTATGTTAATGAATTGCTACAAGGATAATCAAGAGAATTAGATTGTCATGTGCGTCATTGTGTTTTATAAAGGGTTCCACGACACACATCTTTATCTGTCCCAAAGACATTATCAGCAAATATTGCCATTTTTCTGTCGATATTTCCATCAGCAAGTCTCAGTTAAAATCATCAGTTCATTTTACTACTACTGATGAGTATGTGTCAGCTACCCTGTGATATCAATGTGGCAATTTGAAACAATATTTAAACTGATTGGTTGTGTATAATTTATACAATGTATATGTAATTTCATCGCTACCTCATTCACAATGCCTGTAGGGCGCATATAGTAGGCACTTTGGTGGGATATGGGTTTTGTACAGGGAGCAAAGATATGTTTATATTTTCACTGAGTTAAGTTAAAATTGTTTATCAAAATCTTCAAAGTGCTGTCAATATAAATGAAATTATCATGGCTATCCACACAGCCATGTAAAGATCTGTACATGTCCTTAATGAACCTAAGAATATGCCCGGTTGACCACGGCAGTTTAACATTGTGGATGAGGTGGATTGTGGATGAGATGCTGGAGCCTAACTATACATGTACCGTAATACGACACAGGGCTGCCCGCAGTAAGAATATATGTTGAATTCCTGTTATAGGAGGGCTTGACCCTCGGACAG